CTTGAAGATTTTGACCAAGGCCACCCGCAATACTGCCCAGCGTGATACAAACTGAGCTATGTCAGGTCCACACAAGATAAGTCAGTCATAATGACTTCGACAAAAAGAACGAAAAGAAGTAATACAGAGCAACACGCCCTACCAATTCCATCAATAAAGTAACATCCATTCTTAATCTTCTTCAAAGGACAAATCTGAAACGACAAAGGAGACAAAAAAAGCTGTATTATCCCAACATTTCTTTGATTACATGCAGATCCAGTTATACTCTAGACATGGCTGAGATGAATATGGCAAAAAGATGACTAGTGACACGAGACAGGCAATACCCAGAGGAGACCTGGGAGAGAAACAAAAGAGGACGCCTGAAATAATTGAAAAGATGCGGCAAAACATGTGAACTTGACCAAGTAAACAGAAAAAAAGACCAACGAGGCTCTACTTTCCACATGGAGTAAAGATGCCAAAGTCAAGTCAAGACATGTATAATTTGACAGAAAAGTAACATCCCTTGCACATGTGCAGTGTAGAGGACTGGCTATAAATGCTTTCACTTACGCAATAATATAATTTCTAATCACTGATCCCCTGCTACAAGGAGCACGGTTATTTATTCCACATCACATACGCAAATGATGCGTGCACTCAAACAGAATGCATCTGTTACTATTAAGATTGTTTTTAACAATATGAAAATTCAGCGAAAGTCTTATTAAAAATTAGTAACTTACATCATATTCCGCCAAATGTACCCACAGACAATGTGAGTCGCCGAAAAACAGCATAGTGAAGATTAGCCACAACTTCCACTTTTGCTTCATAGCCATATTTGATTAAATCAAAAGCTGAAGGCATCCAAAAGACTAAATCTAAGTTCCAAAAATCTTTGACAACAGAAAAATACAAATCAAAGTAAGTCATATTCATGATACAATTTCAAAGAAACAACTTCCAAATACATTTTAAAAAATGTAAAGCATCAGAACAGAGAAATACAAGCAACATAAAAATAACCTGAAAGTACTGTAAAATTGGCATTATGCAAAAACACTATACACAATCATGAACTGTGAAATCGAAAAACCTTTGGTCAAGTTATGTAATTACCATCAGTCACACATCTTTGATACTGAAAACAAGAATTTGGACGGAATTGTCTTTTCCTGACCTAAATTTTCTCCCCAAACTATGTAATGTAACACATGCACCTATAAATTAATTATGGCAAACAATTGAACATCAGTATTGTAACAGTAAATTTTGTCAAGTATTGATGGACCAACTGCGACTTGTTGTACCGACATTTAATGTTTTACATCCCTATCATAAGTCAGATAATTTTTATGAGGCAGGCTACTTTGATCCTGCCTTTCAGGAACCATCCACAAAATCTGGCCATAGGAATGCCAAACCAATATAATATGCTTTTTACATAGGAATAGAACTTTCGTCTTTTGCGACAAGAACAAGAGCTTTATCATTACATACACCATAAAAGCAGTAGGTGGACTGACGGTGAAAAGTCCCCAAGTCCAGCAGACGCTGCTGGTTTCCTTCCACACAGCTCACTAGAGATACATCAGGCACAGCCTGTTTTTCATACACTGCACTGACTCAGAGAGCGGTGATGGTGACCCTGACAACTAAATCTCAGTACTTATCATGCAAAATAAAAATAAATAAATTCCAAATTATTTTTAAAAACCCAGACTAGTCAATAAACTCAAGAAACTTCCAAAAAGCTTTCCTCACAACAGAAATCACCCAGCTGTGTTCCATAAACTGTCTGATAAAAGTGATATGGCTTTGTGATCTTCCATGAATTACAAAAGCTACTTTCAGTACATTCTTATTATATTTTCAGAAAGAAGTAAGAGAAACAAGTTGATGTAAAAAGGAGTGGAGACATTTTGAAACCATCTTGAATGTGAGCCATCTTGCAAATGTGTGGGCCGCACAGGAAAACCTGGTTTAAGTCACAGTTTATACAACCGAGATACAGGCTTTTAAAGCGAAAGATGGACCCCAACAAGGGATTTGGGTTTTCATCAGATTTGAGTTCCTTAACATGTCTAGCAACTATTGACAGTGAAAACAACGTTAAAAACGGGTCATAAATACCTGTTTTTAAAATATTTCTCCACCATACACAAACTTTAAAAAATCCCGATTTTGCCCTGGTTTTGGATTGGAAAGACGTTGCGACAAGGACGCGTTTTGTACAGCATCTACCCGTCCAACACCACTGTATTTGGTATCAAATTAATTAAAAGACCATACACGGATGAATACAGATTCCAGATTTAAATTTCTAGCTGTTGCGTCCATGCATAGCTAAACCCAGATGGCTAGTAATTCAGTAGTCACTGTGTTTCTCTCTGTGATCTCAATCATCATCACATTCAAAGCTGCTTGGCAAAGTTAAAATTGTGTATTGTCCTCTGAGCAAGACTGTAATAGATCAAGGCTGCTTCACAAAAATTGAAATGAGTGGTAGCTTTCAGATTTTTTTTTTTCTATTCTCAGATGAGGAGTTGGATTTGGAACAGCCCGAATTCACTCCCGCTGTAACTACTCACATTGTGGGTTTGATTCTCGCCCCCAAGCCCAAGCGCAGCCCAACAAGTAGTTGTAACATCACATACCCCTATACGGGCTACAGCCTCTCGTCTCCCCTCTGAACCGTGCAAATGCAAAGGCAACAACAGCAATCCATGCTTCTCCTACTTCAGCATCGAGGACCTCATCAGTTGCCAGCAAAACTTTCTCGAGATAAGTCAGAGTAAGGAAGCTTACGATACAGCCATCCTTACTAAGCTGCAGTTGGTATTCATACAAGTGATCAGACTGTTAGCACAAAGAATGGAGCCCAGAAAGAACGGGAGCGGATTAAGATAGATTATTATCATCAAAGCCAAAAAATTTGCAAGGATTAGTTCCTTTTTCTTCACTGCCTTAAAAGAGACAAGTTTGAAAATTTAATTTTGCACTTGGTTAAAAATGGTGTAACTCCTCATACACATGGAAACAAATCAAAGTTGCCATTTTTTATTTTTTTGGCAAGTATTTTACGGCGCTCGCAACTGCATAAGGTCATATGAGCGCGCGGGACACACCTAATACTTTTAGTTGGTAGGAAATTTTGAATTTTGCCCGGGTGGCGGCCGAAGCCTACTCTTATCGAATTTAGACCACCAAGAGATCTTTAACGTGCGCAACTTGCACACGGGCCCTCTGAGATTTTTCGCCCTTGTCCAACAAGGCTAGGTGTAGATCTTTCCAACCAAAAGATCAGGGGTGTGGCTGAAAGACAGCAGTAAAAAGTAGCCAAGGAGCACAAAGAGTCAGGAGTCCAGGTGAGGGGGTGGGGGGCAGAAAGAGGAGACGAAAGCAGATGACAGAACATTGCTAGAGAGCAGAAAAAGAGGTGAAACGAGACAATTTTACAGAAGAAAATTTTTCGGTCGCTGCCCAGATTCGAACCTGGGACCTTTGAATGAGAGACCGACACTTTAACCTCTAGGCCATGAGAGTCCCCACTGACAAGATGCCCAGCTGCTGCCGACTAGCTGCACCAAAAAACATGGTTATGACCTGTACAAACAGGTTGCTCAATCTAATGGAAATCAGGACGTGAGCCTCTTGGTCTTCCAGCATCTTTGGAAGCAGCTAGTGCCGTTCATCCGCACTATGCCACCTGCAGGTGACTTGTGCTGGCAGTGTCAAGAGACCACTAGGAAAATGGTTCGTGCGGCAAACAGGCCGGATCAGGAAAAGGTGAACTAGGTCCGAGCTCTGGAACATCACCTGCATGTCATACAAACAGAACAACAGTTCTACAAAGAAATCGTTCAACAAGTTCGAGACCAACCAGACATTGCTACACGAGAACCTAGACGACACCCATACTGCTCTATCGGTATGAACCATGTGTATTTTGACTTTGCTCAATAAACACATTATCCAAGCAGCCCACAGCAGCCTGGCCCTATATACTTTAAAACACCAAGGAAGTGCGGCTTGCTTGGCGTGAACTCTGAAGTGAAGCAGCTGTAAGTTAACTACCTGATTAACGAGTCCCATGCTTGCGGCAAGGGAGCAAATTCCGTCATTTCTTACTTGTATGACTTTTCAGAGAATAACTCTCTCGGGGAACGTGAACTGTACCTGCATGCTGATAACGCGTCAGGTCAGAACAAGAACAACTACATGATGTGGTACCTCTCCTGGCGATGTCTCACAGGTCGCAACACAAAGGTCAGCCACAGCTTCTTGATTGCAGGCCATACCAAAGTCTCACCAGATGGAGGATACAGCCTACTGAAACATCGGCTGAAGAGGGAGGAGGTCAACTGTCTTCATGACATTGAACGCACAACCAACAACTCAGTGCAAATGAATGTCGTCAATCGTCCGATGGGAAAATGATGCAGATTCCAACATTCCGACCTACGACGGGTCAGGTGTCCTGACTCCACATTTTTCCAAGCTGCAGATAGTGAAGTCTTTCCACCACTCTATCTTCACCAACTCCCCATAAGTGACAGTGAAGGAGCATGTCAATGTAGATGAGACGTCACAAATTCTCTTCCGTCCCCCCCCCCCCAATTTCCGACTGAGCTTCCAGATATCATCAAGCCCCCAGGCCTGTCTAATGATAGACAGTGGTACCTCTACAATGACATCAGAGAGTTTGCAAGTGATCCCTCAAAGGAACTTGTTTGCTCCCAGCCCCAAGTACCCCCTGGAGTAGTTGCAGTACCTGAACAAAAAGAACCAGATTCAGACCAACCACCGCCTAAGCATGCAAAGGGATGCCCAAAGGGCAAACAAAATACAAAAGGCGTGTGAAAAAGCTGCAAAACTAACACTAAATGCATGTGAGAATGGTTGTTGGTGTTCCTTCACACTATAGCTTCTGTTTTGTTGGTCTACTTTGATGTTTTCATTGGTTTTGTGTTATTTTTTTCTGGTTTCAAAACTTTAAATCCAATTTTTTCCACTTGTCACTTTTGACCCCTGTGCTACAAAAAACGCCCTATATCAGCTCCTACTTATCCGAACTGACTCAAAAAAGTGCAAAATACTCAGAAATGCATGTACTCTATGCCGGGGAAGTTAACTGAAAACTTTTATTCTGAAGGTTAAACTGCTTTTTACTGTGGGCCCACACAAATATCTTTTTGTTTTAAATTACCATTACCAGTATCTAGAATTAATGTAAAATAAGTCAAGTTGTATTTTATAAACCCATTCAAGATTCTGCTGTAGAAAGAGAAGGTGACCAAAGAGAACACTGTGTACAAATCTTTTAAAAAGACGACACAGAAGGCAAAACTAGGAGTGATCAAAGGAACAAGGAACAGTTTTTTTTTAAAAAGCAAAAATAAGCTGGGATTTTTTTAACACTTCAAGTGAGCATGTGAGCTCAGAAAAATCTCTTCAATTCTTTTACTCTGGGATCATTAAGAGAAATGAAGCAATAATTCAACCAACTTGCTCACCAATACAGTAGATCCAAAGGTAGAAAAATAGAATAATCAGTCATCACTAAGCTATACCTTTCACCTACCTGTACATTTGCACATTACAACATGACAAATAATGCTTATAAAAAAGGCTGAAAATATCAATTTCAATTCTCTAGAAAAAATGACTTCCTCACCATACACAAAATATCATTCACAATAAAACATATGACAAAAATAGGTTAACAATAATGGAACAAAGGCCCCATGACAAAGCACAAGCTCCGAAAAGATGCAGCATGTGTTATTTCAGTGGTCAACTGTGCTCAAACCATGTTTTGTATTTAAATGTTGTTTAACATTGTGAACTGACAGAAAATAAAAAGTTCTATGAAAAAAAAAAAGAATATATTCATATGATAGCTTTGTGTATGAACAAAAGTTTTGGCCAGCAATTCTACCCTGCCAATGCATTTTGTTGCTAGGTCCTTCATACTAATTCCATTGTATACAAAAGATAGCCTTTTTGATGACTTTACTCAACACTGTACATTTTGTCAGCATCATTCCACGAGCACCCAGGTCTTTTTTTTTTTTTAGTTTTGAGAAAAAGAAAAAAAAAGCGCCCGAATGAGAACCAAGGACTTCAGCATTTGTTACTGTTTTTCAATTATAGATTAGGAAGGATTTAACAGAACAGAGCTAAACGATATTGTAAAATGCCCCTTGGTGTCTTTATCAAAATACAGGGATGTAAATCTTCCGGCTTTTTCCCTTTTTTCAGGCAGACTTGCCATTTGGTCGGGCCAACACGTGTCCGCGATCCGACGCCCGAAAAAAAAATCCCTAAATCGTCCGTGATCCGGCCGGCCGGAAAAAAAAGCGAAATAAATGAAGTACGAACCGACTGCCTCATTTGCATGTCCCAGAAGCCCCGAGCCGGAAGTTTACATCGGAAAATTGAGCGCCCACTCGACGCTGGCTTAACTAGCCTGATAACGACGCTGTCACGCTTGTTGCTGTGTTTGTTTTCAATTCAAGTTGGATTTATTACCATAGGACAGAAGGTACAGTGAAAGATCGAAGTGATTGATGACAGGAAAAGTGTTCATTCATAATGGAGCAATTTTCAGTATTGGAGCGTTCCTCGAGCGTGAGTGTGAACATCAAATAAATTTAGGTGGCAATGGTTAGATGAAAATGATGATTCCGGCGAGTTCACATCGAATTACGTGAGGAAATTGACTGATGATGGTGTTGTGGTGTGTCTGTACTGTCGCGACAAAATCAACTACAGTTCATCTGGGAAAAAGGCCCTTCACAAAAATTCCAAAACTGCTGTGCCCCAGTCCAACAAGAAAGCGCACTTGAGCAACCAGCCCCTCCCGTCTATATTCGCTGCAAGCAGCCAGCAGACAAAATGGTGATCAGATCTGAATTCAAAGTCAGACTCCCAATCACAGCAAATTCCGGCCCCTAGTCCTGTGTCTATCACAGAGCAGACAGGGTTACAAACTATGAAGCTCTTGTCTGTTCGTTCCTTGCAGAGCACAACCTGCCCCACAGTGTGACATCTCATCTCATAAAACAGGTCCAAGAGCTACGCCGTGACAAGAAAACCCTCTCCCTCCTGTCCATGGAGAGACAAACTGCAACCTATAAGACAAAGTATGGTCTTGCAGCTGTTGAACATAAGAGACTTGTGTTTAAGCATGAGGAAGGTTCCCTCTTTCATAAATTTGGATGAGAGTACATCAAAGGGATGCCAGAAAAGAGTTTTGAACATTCTGGTGTGCTTCTTTTGTGACGACCTGCAGAAGTCAGTGACCCATTTATATTCCTCTGTGTGGAAATGACAGTAGTTAATGCCACAACAGTTTTTGAGGCAGTCATGGCAAAGTTAAGAGAGGATAATATATCCATAACAAATTTGATTTCCATTCTGTCCAATTCAGCAGCCATTAATGGAAACAAATCAAAGTTGCAATCAAAAGCTTTGAAATTTCATGAAATCCGAAAAGTTATTGACTTCATTGTCAACTACGCCGAACAGCATGCCATTATGTTACCAGGCAGATGTGTTTTACAGGGTGCACAATGAATTTCAGGCCAAAATGAGAGAAATTGCACCCCATCTTTTGAAGTTGGGTGATGACGTGTGCCATGATATGCACAACATTGTTAAGAGGCAGTTAGAAATGCCGGTTTGGGGCCAAATTACACAAAATGAGATAATTACAATTTAAAATTCCTGGACATGTCCTGAACAATATCAAGTAAGGTAAATAAGCCTATCTGCACCCTAAAGTGGAGTTGGGGGGGGGGGGGGGGGGGGGGGGGGGGTTTAGAGCGTAGGGTGGAGTCTGTTTGAGAAAATATTTGCCAATTTTGTAAAAAAAAAAAAAAGCTCTTTTGCCACCCTTGATAAAACCCTGAACTCTCAAAAATACCCCTATGTTTCGATATCGCTGAGCAGGGCTTCCTTTCCACTTTTTGTCTATAAATAGATCTCTAGCATAATTCATGCATTGCTAGAATTGTATAAGTTGAAACGAGAACACCCGAAGTGTACTAAACTGCGTTCTGTTTACGTCTCCATGGCCTTTGACCCGACCTATTACTGTGATTGATTGACCTTTTCCCAAATCCATTTGCCATTGGTTGTAAGTACAACTTCCGGTTCGTTTCCACCTCGGTACATGATACACAACATGACTGTAGTAGTGCTCGGTAATTTCCGTAAAGTGAGCACACACCTAAGACTTGTGCACTGTTGGCTGGGAATGGAAAATTTTGCAGCAGCTTTGGAATGTCAGGGTCAAATTTACAACTCGGCATGTGATCCGTGCGCACCAACAGTTTGATCTGGCGCGAATTTCCCACATCGAAGCGTCTTTTCCGTTAGCTTGCACCGGAATGTTTGTTTGCTGACAGTCCACTGTTTACAATTCGGTTGAGGATTTTTCAAGTGTTGTCTGCCTCAATATTATTATTATCAGTGTTTTTCCTTTTGTTGGCTTTTTATTCTTTGACTTCTACAAGTGTGTTGTAGTGACAATACAAGCCTTGTACTTGTGTAGCCACGCCTAGCAGATAAAAAAACCTGTGTCAACGAAGTGATCTCGGAAATCAAGATAGATGGATGGACAGGGTAGCTTTGGCCAGACATCAGCGTTGGACAGCTGATTGTGTGAGTAGTGTGAGTGAGATGGATGACACAACTGACACTGTAAGTCGTGATAGTGATGATAGTGCTTCTTATAAACAGTACACTTAGGGCTGTGTCTGGTATACCAGAAACCCCTCTCCCTTCTTTTGAAGAACCTAACCCTTTGCTTTTAATGCCAACTACCTTCCAGAGGAAAATTGACAGCTCCAAAGCTCTCTTTCTTGTTGAAGGCGATGATGCAGATGGAGGTATTACAATTGGTGACGATGGTGACCACGGCAAGACAAACAGTGGAAGAACAATTGTGGACTTAAGTTTGCTGTGTGAATCCATTGCCATGTTCCCCTGCCCCAACTGCTGCGGCCCTATCACTGTATCAATGAACAAGCAGAAAAGTAGAGGATTTGCCAAGTGTGTACAGTCCTTCTGTAAGATTTGTGCAGATGTAGTGCAGACGTTTTACACTTCCAGATTGGACACGTCTTCCTCATCATCAAAAGTGAAGCCATTCCAAATAAATGAAGATGTTGTTTATGCGTCTATGCTGGCAGACCTGGGACCTTGCAAGCTCAGTCTTCTCTGCGAGGCCTTGACATGGCCAGCTTGCACCACAACACATTCAGTAAGAAAGCAGCAATTGTGGAGAAGGAAGCAGAAGATAGAAAGAAAATGATTCTCCAGGATGCAGCTAAAGTTGTGAGATCACATCACAACTGTATCGACGAAGCGACCACTCTGGACATTGCTGTATCATTCGACGGTTCCTGGCTTACTCGTGGCAACACCTCAAAAATAGGTATAGGCTGTGTCATCGAGGCACACATTGTCAGGTTTGCGCAACGACAGGGGAATTCCAGAAGCAGCACACCCGAACTGTTATGAGGTATGGCTTGCTAAGCACAGAGAAGAAGGATGCAGCATCAACTTCAAAGGCGGGTATTCCTATTTCTTCAGTCGTTGTAGTGCAAAAATTTAATTAACGCATGCGTATAATGACAACTGCAAAATCTTCCCAAACACCTTGAAAGGTGCACCATAAATTATTTCAAAGATGATAAACATAGTAACTGCTTATATTAAACTTTGTGTCTTCTTGCTAGAAAGAATGATCATACAGGCAATTAAAGTTACTTCAGTTATTAGATAGACAAATTCTATTACAGAAAAAATATGAAAAGTACATCATGAGTGTTATTTTCAATGCGTGTATGAAACTTTTTTTTCATACTTTTCTATTCAAACATTCACTGAATTGCTCTTCCTACTTTTTTTTTCCGGACCCTCTGGCATGATGTAGGCCAAGTCAGCTGAAGTCATATGGGCAAGATCATTGGAACTGCACAATTTTAAGTACACCACGATGGTTAGTGATGGAGACTCCAAGGCTTATGACCGTGTTCAAGCGAGTCGTGCACATGGGAATGTCGCCATCCAGAAAAAAGAGTGCATGAACCACGTCTCCAAGCGTCTCCGTACAGCACTCCTCAATCTTGTTCAAGATTGCTCAAACAAGGGTTAGTGCAACAGTATAGTGTTATCATTCCATTTTGTGGGTATCAAATTCCTCTACAAGCACGTCATTGTCAATCAATTAATGCTTGTCTCAATGAAAAAAGTTTTTTTTTAAAAACAGGTTGCTTGAAAATTGTATTTCAGTGTTTGGTAGAGTAGAGATAGTCATAAAATGTTTCAGTCTTTTTTTTGTTGTTCTGTCTTTCATGTTTTTTTTATGATTGTCATGCACCTGTCAGTTTATTTAAACTTCCATCTGTACAGTGTGTTATTCTTCTGTCCTCTTAGAAATGAAGATAAAAACATGATTTTTCATAACATGTTTTTATTGCATTTTCTTTCTCAGGTATTACGCTCGGTGGAAGAAGACCTAGAAGCCTGACTGCTGACAAGATTTAGACCCTGGGCATGTATTATTCCAGGGCAATTCGAAACCACTCCACAGCAGAGGACATCGACCTGCTCAAGCGATGTGAGCTCCACGCGACACACAATGCCAAAGAGAGCCTGCATTCTTCCATTTGGTCTCATTGCTCCAAAAGCAGGTTCCACAGCAAAAACAAGGTTGAGTTTGCTTTTGCATATGCAATCTCTGACTTCAACTTCGGACCAGTGCATGCTTGGTTGCGCTCAGGCGCCACTGGCCTCAACAGCAATCGACTCTGTGAGAACCGCGAAGCTTAGCAGAGAGACAAGAGCCTGAGAACTACAAGTGGGAAGGAGAAAGAGAGAAAGAGGAAGAGAACTGAGGCAAAAAGCCCAGTTCTGTGGACATTAGGGGCTTTTTTAGAAAAGTCTGAAAGGAAAAGACTCTACAGCTCATCATTTACATTAGTCCTGTTGACAGATTGGGTGAGTTCATCTTGCTTGTCCTTTTGCAGTAACTTTTTCCCCCCAGCTTTTAACAAAAGTCTACTATAAACAATACATATTATATATAATAAATAGAGATTATTTGTTGAAATAGGGGGAAAGAAACAAATATAATTTAGTCTCACTGTACTCTTATTTCAGTCAGTGCGCGCGCGTCGTATATTTTCCTGCTTTTTTTTTTTTCAAAACCTGTTTACATCACTGAAAACAGCAGCTTTTGCTGGAACGGCCCCGAAATGACTTGAGCGATTGTGGAATGACGCTGAGCATATCATGATCTTTACCCCAAAGATGGACAAGAAGTAGTAATCTACTTCACCAAAGACTGAAGCCTATTGAGCAACTATACCTAAAAAAAAAAGTTTTGGCCAACCAGCCCTTCGTTCAAAATGAAATATAAAAATGGACAGTGTTCATGCCAGGGCTGGGATTTGCAGCCATTATAATTTTTAACTCTTTACTGTCATTATTTTTCCCCGTTTTGCCTAAATCAGTTTTCGAAAAGGCTCAGGTTTTGAATTAAGATATTATCTTGACACACAATACAAACAAGTTTCACATAAACATAATATACTCATTAGGTATCATTTTATGTGTTAAAAAAATGTAGAAAGTATTTATGGTTTTGTTTTATGCATTTGTTTAAGTACCTGTGATCTGTATGTTGAGAAAGTAAACAATTTAGTTACACCCACTCTGAACAGCTCATCATCGCTACTCCACTGCCACTATCAAAACCATCAGACCAATCTAACTTTTGATTGGAGTCATCTTCAGTCCATAAGAAATCAATAGCCTCATATTCGCCTGTAAAATGAACTGGGGGCTTCCTCTTTCTCTAACCACTGCTCACTTATCCTCACTTGTATCATTTTAAAATTAAATTTTTAAAAATGTTTTTTTTTAAAGTTCTGAAACAAAAAACAGTTCAGTTGTGCTCAGAACCTATTTTCTCGCGTCTAAATTAAGAGGAAACTAGGACAATCAACTGTAGTTGCCGGAAATAGGATTGTTGTAAAATAGAAACCACTGAAAATGCATACACTGATGCAAAATGAGACATGTTGTGAGTAAATGCTCCCATCATTACTCTGGCCCTTAAGAGTTAATACTAGTGTGCATATATTTAGATGACTGTCCGAAATGAGTATAAATGACTACTAAGACTAAGATGATCATAAGTTCTAGAGGCGTTGACAAATAGTATGCACCATACTTTTCCGTAAAAATAAATGGTTCATATCAAAGGCATAAAATCAAAGTTCATGATTCTCAACAAAGAAACCATCTCTGCTGGACTTCTTGAAGCCAGTGGGTCAAGCATATAGAGAAATGATTAGGAAAAAGAGTATATTTTTCACTTTACCACAACAAAGTACGAGTACAAAAAATACAAGAATATCCATATTTTAAAAATAAATCAATGATCATCACAGATGTGCCAGCTATCTCTAGTACAGAAGATCTTAAGAGAAATCAATGCCCTATTTAGCACTACAAAAAACAACAACCGAAGCAAGGGAGCAGAGGGGGAATGTTTTTTAGTCTCCATATGGAAAATCGGTATGAACTTCTGAAGACAGACAGCGCAAAATACATCTTATGTCTAGAAAAGAAAAAAGTGTAAATCTACATACAGAAAGTGGGCAGAGAAGGCAAATTTATATTGTTCCTGCATTTTATGAACTTCACCATAACTTTGACTTTTTCAATGGAAAACTTTGTTCCTCTATAAAAATAAATGAAAGATTTACAGCCATGGATAAATGTGTCTTTCAATCCAAGGAATTGTACGTTTTTCCCTTTATGAATACCTTAACAGCATCATAACTACTTGGTCAGAGGCTAAAAAGTTTTTCAGATGGAGTTACAAGCCATTAACAATTTGTCCCCTCTAGAAACAATGATTCACTTTTTAATCACTCACTCAACCATTGTTCATTGAAAACACCATAAAGCCATGCATGAGATACAACTATAGAACCTTCCGATTTCACCAGTTTAAAAAACACCCCAAAAAAAATCTAGTAAATTTTTCATGTCCATCTACAAAAAGCATGATTCTAATAATAAGAAAGAGGCCCTAAGCAAGATATCCAGTTATTTCAACAATTCAGTAGCAACAAACATAACCTTTTCTCTAAAATTACTTGATCCCTCGAGCTGGTTGTACACACTTAAGAGAGGACGGAGGTCGGATGTCAGAGCTGACATCCAGCCAAAGGTCATGACCTGTAGAGAAGACGTTGGTAGTGCGGGTAGATCTCACTGTCGGGAATGTGAAGGTAGAACTCGATGGCCACCAGACACTCAATCTCAAAGCTCAGCAGGTCCTTCCGGCTCACCCGCAGGTCATCCACTGCTTGCTGTAAGGAGATGGAGACAAGGGGAAGGAAGAAAGGGACAGGAAAAAGGTAAATACAAATAGCACTGATGATGTTCTGAAATTATTTGAATGCTGTAAATCTCTAAACATGTAAAGTGTGTGGGTTTAATGCTCCTTTCAACACTATTAGGTTATTTATGAGGTTGGACGTCAGAATTTAACGTCCGTCTCCAATAGGACTCAGCCAAATGGGTTGAGAGCCTTTTAAAACTCTACAAAATGACAAGAGTCCAAGAACACTCAGTCTGGGATTTGATCCAGGGCCTTCCACTCCGATGTCCAGCATGATACCAATTGAGCTATCTGAGAACCCCTATAAACATGCAATGTTTTAAAAAAATCGTTTGACAGTGCTTTTATATTATCTAGAGAGCATGTTGGCTCCCAATTTTTAATGACGACCTGCAGATCAACCTTGCTTGGCAATGGTTTTAGAACAAAAAAGAGTTTTAGTTTTAGTAGAGGTTTTACGGCGCTCGCAACTGCATAAGGTTATATGAGCGCCAAGGGGTGGATGTCAACAGAGAAGTCCTTACAGGGAATCAGACTTACTCTGCTCACCTCTTTAACTTCAACAGCACAAAGTCTGCTTCGACTATCAAGGCACCCCGGAAATAGTGGGTCACAAGAGTGTGACAAACATTCAAATGAAGTAAAGGAAAATGACAATAGTAAGGATTAGGAAAGACAAAGCAGCAGTTCCCTGTTGTAGATAAGGCAAAGTTATGATCGTGACATTGATGAATCAGCCCATTTACAATTCTACTGTGCATGAACGAGAAATGTCCCCCCTTTGGGAATGGCCCAAAGACACTTCAGTCAGTGGAACCACCCCTGGGGGTAAAAAATAAAAAAGAGTTTACCGACTTCTTCCAGTTACATGGTTATTACAGCAAAACACTGCAAATTCATTGCGTCATGAGGGTAGTAAAACTGATACAACATACCTTTGCACCTCAAAGTACAAAAGACAAAGGAACCTAAGAATTTTTAACCCCTTCAATGCATCATCTGTGACTGTCTAGGGCCCTTGTAAGAGTTACAAAGTAGGCTTAGCAGTAGTGAGATTAAAACAACAGAAAAATTTTGAAAACCTTATTATTGGCGGATATAACATAGAATTTGTTGGTACACATAGGTAGTTCAGAGAACATTTTGATAGTCATATGGACTTGCATACCAATGCTTCTTTTGTCTCTCCACAGGTAACAAAAACATATATATTATCTTTCATTTGCAAAAAAAAAAATAATAACATTGTTAAGTTGATATGCACTTATCAATGTTTTATGAGGTGTTATTGGATTCAGCACAATAAAATGTTATTTGTATGACATGCTACACTAGAAAACTGAAGATTGTTCGGCCGAAATACACCGCAACATAAAAAGTCTACATAAAAGCAAAGTGCAGACCAAGTATACCCAGTGCACAGAAAGAAATGGCCACAGCTTTGCCAAGTTTCATCATCTTTCACCGGTTACAAATATGTTGTATCTTTGTACAGACACGGCTGAGCTCTCTACAACCTGAGGCCCATAGGCCATTTTCTGTATTTCTACATGTTTTACAAAGGAAATGACCAACTTACTTCAATAAGTTTGGTCAGAGTGGGTCCCTTGACATCATTGAGTTTGCAGGACAACAGCAAACACGCTCCTGCACATATCTTTCTGTTCTGCTTGTTGATCAGTAGCTGGGGACGGGAAAAAAAAATTTGATATCAGCTGCTTTGATGCTTAACCCTCGTAGCGCTCCAGGCGACAAAATTCGCCTCCCATCTCTCACTCCGCTGAGCGCGCGAGGCGACAATAATCGTCAACGGGCGGGCCAGCTCCCAAGCGCGCGAGGCGACTATTGTCGATTTAGGGGAACACCTTATTTTTGGAGCAAATAGCGTCACCTTTAGATGCTATTATTAGTTCTGTAATGGAAAATTTTACTCTAGAATGGTTCAACCAATCAAAATCAAGGAAAAAATAACCCAGGGGTCAAGGCACTGCGTGGCTTCGTGGGTTCTGTTAGGGATAGACTCTATATAATGTTTATTTAGGTCAATTGCCCAGTAGCGCTGAACAGTGAATGATTGGTTTAATTAACAGCTTTCCCTTTATTATTTTGCAAACCATACCTCTGGAAAGTGAAGTCTTTTCTGAATTTATAAATTGTCTAGGGTTTTGGTGAATGTATGCGTGCATACTGTCAAGATACAAAATGAAACAATAACATTCCCCGCGTGGGCCTCAAACAACCCAGCTAGCGCTCCGGGGCAGGTCACAAACGGTCAAGGCTAAGCGAGCCCGGCACGGAGTACGCTCAGCGCTTCCGGTAAGCGCTACGAGGGTTAAGCATATACCACTTTTTAGAATTACAAATATAAATAAAAAAGAAATATCTGAAGTGCATTGATTGAGCATGACAAGAAATCAATGACAAACAACAGCTTCAATCGGCAACACAACACATTCCTTAACTTGTAATTTTGCAAATCAATCCTTCAAAAATAATGCCCTATTTACAGTTCCCCAACTTTCCCCCCCTTAAAAATTCATACATTGTTTCATGTAAATCAATTAGCCATGTGTTCAGTTCTTATTTCTGTTACATTGTTAGCCAAAAGAAGGACGACATCGTAATAAAAAAGCCTTTAACGGTAGATGACCCAGTCATTACCCTTACAAAATTAAACAAGGAAAAAACTTCCGGCATTGTGGGGAGAATTCCTGTGTTAAAATGAGACCATTATGACTTATCAGTTCCATAAACAAAAGTGATAACAACTCCCAAAATAATAAGGCTCAGGCAAAAAAATAATTTTTCATCAGGAGATTAGAAACCCACCTTCAGGATGATTTTCTCAAAGAATACGTATGACTGAGCCACAGTCCACAAGTCCACAGAGCACTGGTGTAAACAAAGAACACAAAAGATTAGACGAGAGCAATTAGACTTCCCAGTCAATGCAAAGAGAAAAAATGTAGACATTGAGACATCTTATTAGGCTTTCGTATTTTTATTTAATGCAGGTGTACCCATGTGGGCATACAAGTATAAGTGTGTGTTCTGGAAGTCGGAAGGTCCAGAGAGAGAGAGAAAAAAAAAAAAGACAGGTAGATGGAAAGAGAGAAACACAGAGAGAGAGAGAGAGAGAGAGAGAGAGAGAGAGAGAGAGAGAGAGAGAGAAGAGAGAGAGAAGAGAGAGAGAAAGAGAGTGAGAGAGAGAGTGAGGGAGAGAGAGACAAAGGAGAGAGACAGAGACAGAGAGCAAATAAAAAGAAGTTCAAGATGTAAATTTGCAGGAGTTAAGAAATTGGAGATATAGTGACTATGAAGGCATTGCCATACAAGAAGAATCCCATTGACCATGGGCAAAACAAGACACAAGCATAAAAACACATTTTAAAAATTAAGGAATTCTGTGCCCTTATCCTCTCAGCATAACAGACTCCTCCATTCATATTATACGATAATATATGATTATAATCCTTGGAGACTGAAAATGTACAGTTTTAGTGCCTTAAATCAACGTCTTTCTGTATAACCCACACAGAAGTAGATTTTTTAATGGACGTAAAAGGTGTGGAGCCAAAAAAAGAAAACTAGAAAAAAAACTGCCCAACTGCCCAACTGCCAGAATAACATCAGTTTCTTTGATATTATATTTAAGAAAAATAAACAGTGTCTGTGGTGTAATGGAATGGCTCTTCGCTGTGGCGAGCAGACTACTGAGTCTGGGATCCATTCCAAAGTGGGGAAGTTTTCTTTTCTTTATTGAGTATCTTGGATTGACTCTGATTGGCAGGGTTGAAGCAGCCCACCTCCTAAATTATATAAATTGTATTGATGTGGGCATAAAACATTTACAGTTTGAAAATTGTTACAAAGAACAGATTTTTAAAGTATTTTGTCGATTTCAAGTATTTCGTCGATTAAAATGTACCAAATGTTCCTCTCTTTTTATACAATTCATTTCTCCCCTGCTTATGCATACTTCAGTCTTTACAGTGATTTAGGCAGCCATCAAAAAAGTGTGACCAATGCCAAAGATCATCCACCCAACCTCTCCTTTTTATTTTACCCATTTTTCAGCATCTTAGACATACATACTAGTTCATGTGACACAAAACAAGCAATACTTACCCTCACATGAGCTATCTGATACAGTTCTCTCTTCAAACTAAAGAAAAGAAAAAGAAAAAAGAAATTAACACTTTTAGTTTTACTAAAAATTTCAAGGCACTTGCAACACAAATAGGTCATATATGTACCAAAGATTAAAGGTGTTTCTAGAGAATAACATACAAAGAAAGGAGGAGAGAAAAGGACAACAAATGCTTGATAGGAAAGAAGGAGCAAAATACATCAGAGCATCCGCCAACCGCAACCATGGAATTTACACTCCTGGGAAGTATAAATTCACTGAAGAAATCAATGTTTCAAGTTGAGCATTCTGTGACAAACAAGGAAAACATTCACAACTCACAACTCAATCTCTGCAGTCCCTTTTTTGTTCAATTTCCAAAGGTTGGAGGCTCTCCATGTGTTATTATTAAGCCAACAAACAGTAAAAAAGGAGTCGCCTCTCCTTTTTTGTTCTTTTGATTAGCACTCTGCATATCACAAAGCAATTCTGATCCCATGAGGTTTGTGTTATCAGGGTTTCACAGCATATCTTTTTCCATATTAAAACTCATTTAGAAAATAGACTGTTAGTAAAACTTATCTTTATGAAAAAGTTTTAACATGATATTGTGTACATGTGTTATCAAAAACGCAATGGAATTTCAGAGACACAAAGAGGTACCAGCCAGGTCAACAAAACCAGAGGATACCCCCGCCTCCCCCCGAGTGAGGAAACAAATAGCACACAGACACAGTGAAGGCCATTTAGCGATAAGTAAAAAAAGACGCCGCACAGAATAAGATATGAGGCACGACGTTGTGGAATCAGGCTCTCGTAAATTTTTGGGCATATGGGGTTATTGATATCATCTTAAAGCCTGTTCATTTGCCTTGCTTTTGGCAAAAAAAATATCAATCTATGTTGAACAGAAGTTGAGATATTTGCAATTGAAAGAGGTGAAGGTCACCTGGTTTCAGAGGTAAAATTTACGAGAAAGTTGCCACCAAAGTTTGGTCATTTCTTTAGCTTGAGAATCCTTGGAAACTGAAAATGTACAGTTTTTGTGCCTTAAATCAATGTCTTTGTGTAAAACCTACACAGAAATAGATTTTTTAATGGACGTAAAAGGTGTGGAGCCCAAAAAAGCAAATAAGAAAAAAATTGCCCAACTGCTAGAAAAACACCAGTTTCTTTGATATTATAATTTTGACAAGTGCCTGATTTCACCCCGATGCCTCACGTATCAGCAACTCAAACCACAGGCCAGCCAGAGACACCCTCCAACAACTAACAATTGGCTGTGTTTGTACAACTCACCTACGCAGTTTGGACAATGTGAGCTGGATGTTTGGAAACCTTTCCCGAAACTTCTCATTGAGCTCTTTCTTCAGCATAGAAGGCTTTACATAGTCTATAACAGATGTCTGTAACAGAAATCAAAAGGAAGTAGATGAACAAGAAATTTAAATATTGAAAGAGGGAAAACCATACAGGGCATGTTTGAAAACTGACCTAATGTTATTTGAACCTCTTGTAACACCATCATGAACTTGATCTAAACATACATACTTTTCGCACAAGACACATTTCCTGGCAGTGTCACACTAGCTGATCTCTTCCAAAAACTAATTTCTCAGCATCATGCTCTCAACAGCAAAAAAAGGAGCCAATTTAACCATTTACCCAAATAGATGCTCCTTATCCCCTATTGGCAAATGACCTCTCAAAGTGGAGCTCCGGTTGAATGATTGACAGAAATTCTTTTAAAAGAATGCCACTTCATCCGGAAGGTACTATGACATTAGTAATACTGGAAAAAAGCCATAGAACTGAGCACACCTAGAGGCTTGACTTAAGGGTTACGCTCAGAACACACAAAACTTACAAGGTAAGACTTGAAGGTGAGTTCAGTTCTGTAACTGCCCGACTGCAGTTCTGGGTCATCCAGTTTGTTAGCATGGTAGGCATCAGAGTCCTCTTGGACTGGAAGGAAGGGGAACATAGCTTTGTACACAGTAAGCATACACATGATGCCTTCATGGAAAAATGTAAGGCGTAAGAAGAACACATGACACACTGAGCCTTCACACAAAGCACGCATGGAAAAGTCAAGGAGGGCACACAGGGTAACCTATAACACCACAAGATCACAAAGCAGTGAGCAAAAAAACTACATTAAAGATTTTCCAGTTCGATAATTAAGGTCTGTTATCTTATCTACATTCATCTCCTTTAAAGAGAAATACATTATCATTAGAATGATCATGTTGTGCCAAAAAAATGAGATTATAGACAAATATAACAACCGGATAAGGTAAATACTTGCCAATGCCCTTTTGAAACGACCTAAACAGGATCATTATTCAATACAGCCTTTGAATTAAAAAGAGACTGCTGGTTTAATTTCATTTAGAGTTTTTAAGGCACTTACAATACAATTAAGTCACCTAAGTGCCAAAGAATAGTGATGTTACAAGAGAGTAACATACAAACAAAAGAAGGAGGCGACCGCATTAAAAAATAATTTTGTTGGAAAGAAAAAAAAGGAGACAACAGACAGTCAGGAAAAAAGGATATATAACCACTTTTACAAGAAAAAGCAACAAGAAAACACACATTTCCATCAGTGTCGGAGTGAAGCGCATCAACTCAATATTGGTCACATTGTGCCATTAAAAAGTCCCTCATCATAGAGAAAAATGAAAAACAACGCACTGAGAACAGGTAGTAAAACAAACACAGCTGCTAACATCCAGCTTATACTCTATGACTCAGAAAGAAAACTAGATATCAGTCTTTCAATTTTTACTACAAAAACTGTTGATAAACAACACATAAAGACCTACAACACATTTGACAATCAACAATTCTTCTGAGGGTGCTTACAATGAACATAAATATATTGTTTAAGTGAAGAGCCACCCTTAGAAAAGACACACAAAAAAAAGGCTCTAAACCAGCTAAATTACTTTCATGCTTATGGAGAATAGAGTTTGCTCTAGCATCTTTTATACTCATCTTCCAGAAAAATGATCTCGTAAGCTACGCATCACACACATCACAGCTCATGTAAACAACACAGAGTGTCACATCATGTCATGAACACATTTTCCTTCCTTTTTTTTTCTAAAACCACTACAACACATAACATAAAGAATATCAGGTATGAAATGGCTGAGCTTTCTGCAAAACACATGGACTACTGTTGTTTCCCTAATACTTCACGAATTGTATCTTAAGAGGGTATTGTTCTCTAACTCTAAGCTGCATCACAATCACATAAAATGAAAACTAAGTAAAGGGACCAATCACACTCTGAAACAAAACTTTTAATTCCTTTCTCAGCTCGAAACCACAATTCCAGTTAACTATATTCGAGATATTCACGATCACAATGATTTGAATATATACCATACTGAAAATGACTGAGATTTGATTATCACTCATATGTAATATATATATATATATGTGTCGGAATTTGACCACATTGCGTTAAGGGTTGTACCTTACAGGAAATTCAATGCTGAACACAGTGACAGTGGGTTTTTTATTTTTGAGATATCTCAAGTGGTTTTTTAGATTTTGCACATTTTGCGAGGAAGAGAATAAAGATATAATTTTGAGAAAATTAGCTTTTAAGTCTAGAACACATACTAACTTGAAAAACCGAGGATTCAATCGTTTCTAATTTATTTATTTATAGGAAATTCATTTCCAATGTGGCATTCAGTTGACATCAATATCATGATTAGAATTCAATGGTAAAACATAGAGGGGAAGACAAAACATGCTTCAAGAATAGATTTTAACCTTTTACAAGCAGTTTTCTTTCATTATCCAACCCACAAAATAATTCTAAATAAAATATATATAGAAGTCAAATCAATGAAAACCCTTTTTACACATACAAATGGTGAAACTATCATTTTTTATGGGAATACATTTTTAACAAAAAAGTTATTTTTTACCATTATCAGCTTGTAGCTCGGAACAGTCTTTGGTGACTTTTGGTACTTTCTCCAGGCGTGCACACATATATACATATTGGGAAAGTGTTACAGCTTATCTAAATAGCTAACTTAAACCTTTAAGGCACTGCTTGCAAATATATTTTTATTCGATTCTGTAAGGCTATAAAAAACATTATTGAGCTGTTGAAAGGCGTGACTTTTTAAACATAATTTTGACACCAACACCATAACGATAGACCCACAACTATGAGTGAGTATAACGGCTGCAGTCAGGGGACATGTTTACCTGTCTCCAGGTGCGAGTGCCAATGCCATTGATTAGTTTGTGAGTGCCACTGCCACAGGTGAGCTGGTGGAGCCTCATGCAGCATGCTACGAGCTCCATCCTGGCCTGTCCATGGGGGGATATGGCACACGTCACACACAGAGGACAGGGGAAGGAAGCTAAAGGGTTAGTCACATGTACATACAGCCCTAAGGGAAGGACTAATCCTGGATAATAATATTATCACAGAGAGATATATGGGGGTGAGGTCAATATTTTCCTCTTACTCAGTAGTACCTTACTTCCATAAGTAATAGTATCTTTCAAATAAGAGTATGACGGTAAATAAGGAGGGGGGAAAGAAAGCTATTGCATTAGTAGGGATCATAATGGTAGGAATACAAGTAATGTGTTACAAGCATAGATTACAAAGAGATATATGAATACTTTAAACATTTTTCTTCCATTCACCATTTCAACATAGCTCGTTAAACCTTGTTTGCTAACCTAGTGCATCACTGTGGCCATAGAAAGAACTGTAAGTAGTCCCACATCTATTGTATGTTTGTTTGGGTGAGGACAGGCACAGGATCGACTCAATAAGTCATTTCAAGCAAGGAAAGATATACAGACAGACAAAAACAATAGAGGGGAAAGAAATGTGGAACCCTCCAAACACCCACAACTCAGAAATAGGAATTAAAACGAAAAGAAAAGGACAGGGTGCACGGACTCAATACTTATACAAAAAGGAAGAGAGACTGTTTGAAAGCACACAACTTAGAGAAATCAATGCTTTGCAGCTAAAACACTGAACATTTTACTCGTAATTGACATGAGTGTAACGTATACACACATATAACAGAAAAAGTTACCAGACGAAATGTTCCCAACATGTTCAAGTTATCAAAGAACATAGACAAAATTTTTGGGTACTAAAAGACTCTAATATTTCTTTTAAACATCGTGTAGTTAAAACACTAAGAAAAATAAAATCCAAGCAGCAATAATTGCTGGCGATAATTTGGGACAATAGTGACAGTCAACATTATTTTCTTGTCTATTCAGTGCTTCAAGAGATTTAGTAGACCTAAAGCAATTACTGTCAGGATATGATTCATATCTGATTTGGATGTGAATTTTTTCAATTCATCTGAAAGAATTAAAATTCCAAAGAATATTTCTTTAACGTCAAGAGCAAAAAACAGTGAACTTGAAATTCTGAGCTATAAAACCAAGACTATAACAATTCTATGCATAGTAAATGAACATGGAAAACTCAGACTAGAAAGCAAACTGCAGATGCAAAAATCAATGCACGTTGGAAAGTCTTCAAAAATAATTATATTAATTTGTTACTTTGTTTATGACTTCAATTTTATCACAAGTAAATTTTGATCAACTATAGCAGGAAGAAAAAGAGCCTGCTTAATTCAATCTTTCTGGATATTACAACAAGTACAGAAAGACATTTAGAAAAAGAATTCTGACTTATTCCCCACAGCAAACAATGGCCATCGAAATATTTTTTGAGTGACATTAAGAGTTATCATTAAGGTTGGGCTTCCTCAATTTTGTTATTTCGACACCACAATGCCACACACACAAACACTCTTTAGCAGAAAATGATCAGATCAACTAAGGAAATAGATGCACATTGGGGCCACAGACTAGACAGAGCACCGCAATCACTGAACCCATAGTAAAATTAAAACAGCAGCGCACAATATGTAGATCAAACATGGAAGACAAATCAGCAAACTAAAAAACCAGGTCATAATTCATAACTAGAAGGTACCACGTAACCATGCCATTAATATAAGACTGTAATAGTACTACATCAGCGCTAAAATCCCCTGTGGGCTTGTTAATATTTAATTATTTATTCAAGGTCGTCATGAGGTAACGACTGACCCAGACTCAAACTTCACCTTCACTTATCGTATGATATATGGCAAAAAAAAAACTATGAGAATTTGTTAATTACTATTTTTCATTGTAATGCTGTGAGCGGCCAGGCTGCTGAACTCAGGATCAGAACACCATGAGTTCAATTCCTGGCTGCACTTGATCTGACCAAAGATAAAGATATTAACTTTACACATTTCACAATCTTTCTTCCCATTCAAAACTTGTGTGAAATTGACATTGATATACAGTGTCAGGCAGTGGGGGGGGGATGGGGGTGTTGGGATAGGGGATCCTGCAGCAGACCAGCTTCCTGTCTATTGAGTCATTTGTTCCTCAAAAATGCTATGGTAACAAGATAAGCTACCATTCTGTTGGCTTCTACAGTCCCGGTGAAAGAACCTAACTTTCACCTTGCTACTTCAATTGTCTGCTGTGCACTTGGTACTTTAAAAGGTCTGCATGTCAGTCCAACCCAGGTCAAAACAACGGTCATATTAGAGGAAACAAAAAGGAAAGGGAAGTAAGACCTTGGGGGAGGGGGGGAAGGGGTCAGACAAGTGCACATTTCATGCAGAACACAAGCACTGACCAAACCACACAATGTGCCACAAGGCCCAGGGGCAATAGCACATAGTAGTTTGGTTGGAATGAAGGAAGGCATACATACATGTAGCTTTGTACGCATCTGATGATCCTAAGACAATAAGTGCTTCACATTCAGCCATTGCTTGTATGCAATGAATTCAAGACCAATACTTCCCTTTCTTCTTTTTCATTTTAAATGAAAAAATTACAAGCAATATCATAATCCCGCCCACCTTTGGCTCAATGTTTCTCATTCAAAAAGTAAACTAACAGACGAGTAGGGAGCTTCTATTCCAATACAATTGTACACGTTTATAGCTATGCTCAACTTCTTTCACAATTTACAAGTTTACACATTCTAGCAATTATTTTTAGTACAACCACAATGGTAATGTTATTACATTCTAAAAACAGCTACAACAAATAAATACAACACAGTTTTTAATAAGCTACCAAGTTCACACTAAACATAAAAAAACACATGGCATTATACTTTCACTGTGAATAACATCACAGCAGGATAAATGTCATAGGTTATTAAGTCAGGAGCTACAAGTAATACATCGTGACTAGTTGTTTTACTGAATTCGACAGTTGTATATAAGAAAGGGCAGAGTACAAAACATTTGTGAGGCAGTGTGGTGAAATTAGGCGCTCGTCAAAATATCGAAATTGCAGAAACAGGCTTTTTTCTGCCAGTTTGGAAATTTTAATAAGATTTTTATTTTTTGGCTTAAACTCTTGTAAGTCCATATAAAAACCCATTTTCATGTGAATGTTACTGAAAAACACTGATTAAGGACACAAAATGTGTCATTTTTCAGTTTTCAAAGACTTTAGCTATTGAAGTAATCAAACATTGGCGGCCATTTTCTCGCTAATTTCAACACATAAAAATGACGGCCTCACCTCCTTCAATTGCAAATATCTTGAATTCTATTTAAGATAAATGGATGTTTATTTCACTGAAAGCAAGGCAAATAAATCAGCTTTCAAATGATACCAATAATTTCACATGCCAAAAAATTTACGAGCGTCTGATTCCACTGCACCGTGACACATTTTTTTCTAATGACAATATCTAAATGGGTTTTTGTACTTGTGATAAAGATAAGATACATACTTTATATACTCAGAGTAATGTCACAGAAAGGGTTCTCAGCAATAGATTATACTAAAACCGTAGATTAAAATGCTTAGTTTAACACTACAGAAAGGAAACATCACCATCATAAGACCAGAGCGATGACCGAGCCACGAGCCTGAGTGAGATGAGTCATTGATAAGTTTGACCCTTGTGCGACTGACTAATGAGTTGTGCAAAACAAGCACCCTAATCCTGAACTAGGAAAAATATAGGGAAGCTAACAATATTTCAAGGGGACCAAAAAAAAACAATTTTAAAAAAAACTCAAAAAAGGAGACTCACTGGGGGTGGGCAGCTCCTTGTGTTCCACACTGGTTCTCTTCAGGGCAGACTTCCGGTTGGAGGCCACTAGGAACCGACTGTAGGACACCTCCTGAAGCACAAAGACGCATTGATTGTATAATCATGGGTCTCAACTCAGAAATTTAAAAAAGGGGGAACTTTCTGCGTGATTGCGACAGAAGACCATTTTCACGAGACACCCATTATTATCTTACTGTTCAACCCTAGAATGCTGAAATAAAAACCATCACTTTATCAAAGTAAGGTTATTTCATACCAATTTGAGGGTTTGGAAGATAATTTCAAGTAGAAGAGTCACTTACCAAATATTTACAATCTTGATTATATACAGAAAGTGTTGGCGTATAACTGGGATGTACCCCTTCCAGCAACCTCTAACCGGAAAAATGTTCTGACTGGCCCACTGTCGCGGCAGCAGAGTTTAGCAGAGGAAATGGTGGTAGTGGAAATCCGCTAAATAGCGGAATATTGAGACAAATGATAATAAAGGAAACCCAAAATGAAAACTTTGAAGCATCAGAGTTTACCTCCAATCTTCTGCCCCTTTCAAAGCAATTTTCAGTCAATTTACTCATCAGAGTCATGCTGCATACAATTTGTCCCTGGCTGCCGCATATGGAGATTCTTCTTTGAAAGCAAAATGAGTATGCTGCAGTCTAGAATGGAACTGGTGATGTGTCACCTACAATTTGTGGCATCAAAATGGTGAGATAATAAGTGCTTGCTTGCAGGCTTTAGGTGATGCAACTTCATTGAGGTAAGAAAAAGACCGCAACATTAAATGGCATCTCTGATTGAAAAATCTAAAAAATACCAACAAATATCTCAGCAAGGATTCTATCCTTGGTTATTTTCACCATGAAAAATGCGTTCGTAAGAAACAACTTCAGCCAAATGCAGCCTATTAAGAGGCATTTATGATAAGTTGTTGGGGCTTTTTTTTAAAAATTGAATCCATTTCACATTATGAGACTAGCAACAAAACAAGTCTCAATAATGGATGAATGTGACAGTGTGTAAGAATTACCTAACACTGTTTACCTTAAATGATATTCACAAAATAAAAAAGTCTCCAGTAATACTTAGCAATATCACCCACCTCATCTTGTCTGCTGGCTCCATGCTGTAGACCCACAAAGAGAAGCCCTTCCTGGGAGGAATGTGACCTTGAACCTGAGTGACCTGACAGATGGCGAACCCGCCCTTCCTCTGGGACTGTGTCAGGCCTGCAATAAGGTATAAACAACAACAAAAATGAGTGGAAGGAAGAATGAGAACAAAGATAAAACATGGCGGGGGAAAAAAAATTATGCAATGTTTTCCTGTACCTGAGAGGCTCTCTTCATTCCACATTTTAAAAAAAATGATAATACCATTCGCCAATTGGAACTTACCTTTGAGAAGAACGGGGGCTAAAAGCAAGTACTGAGCAGACTGCCAAAGGATTCCGGTCTCCAGTAACCAGGAAAACTCTGTAGAGATATAAATGAGACCCATAATTAAATTTAAAGCAATCTGGAAAAAAGTGACAAGAACAAACGGGGGTATTTTTTGTTTCAATGACAGTTTTACAGCATTTGCAACACAATTAGGTCACATATATGTAAAGAAGATTTGATGTGGGGAGATACGAAAAGGATGTTTTAAAGGAAAGAAGGAACAAACCACACTAGAGCACCCGCCAACCACCCACAAGAACCAAAGAGAACTGCAATATAGACACATGTATACAAACATGATATGCAAGATAAAAACGCTGCATTTCATCAGGAATATACAAGAATTTTTTTTGGTAAGAACAGAAATAGATGGAACACACTACACAACAGCCTCCAACCACGCCAACCCCCGGCAAATACCAACAACTTTTCTAAGCACACAAAAAGCAAATGCAGTAACATACCAATGAGCACCTGTCTTCTCCTGTCATAACATTGCAATGGAAACAAAGATACAACTCCTCAGATCTATCTTCGTATCAACTCTCTGCTACCTGTGCCAAACCTGGACTCTCAACAAAGCGCAACAAAGTAATTTTTTCAAAGTTTTTTGAGTAGAGTCTTTGCAGTGCTCGCAACTGCATAAGGTGATATGAACGCCAAGGGGTGGATATCAACAGAGAAGTCCATACAGGGAATCAGGCTTACTCTGCTCACCTCTCCAGCTTCAACAGCACAAAGTCTGCTTTGACTATCAAGGCACCCCGGAAATAGCAGTTCACAAGAGAGTGACGACATACAAAGGAAGTAAAGGAAATAACGATTGTAAGGATTAGGAAAGAAAACTCAGCAGTTCCCCATTTGCAGTTCAGGCACAGTTATGAGCATGACATTGATGCATAGGCCCATTTACAATTCTACTGAGGATAAAAACATGTTAATGTCCCCCCTTTGGGAATGGCCTAAAGACACTTCAGTCAGTTTTTTTTCTGGAGACCTTTTACAGCGCTCACAACTACATAAGGTCATATGAGCGCCAAGGGGTGGACGTCAATAGAGAAGTCTTTACAGGGAATCAGTCTTACTCTGCTCACCTCTCTTCTTTCAACAGCACAAAGTCTGCTTCGACTATCAAGGCATCCCGGAAATAGCGGGTCAAAAAAGTATGACAAACACACAAAAGAAGTAGAGCAAAAATGACGATAGTAAGGATTAAGAAAGAAAAAGCAGCAGTTCCCTGTTGCAGTCCAGGCACAGTTATGAACATAACATTGTTGAATCAGCCCATTTAAAATTCTACTGTGCATAAGAACAAGTTAATGTCCCCCCTTTGGGAATGGCCTAAAGATACTTCAGTCAGTGGCACTGCCACGGGGGGTAACACTTCAGTCAGTAGCATCGCCCCGGGGGGTTAACAAAGTAAAATGAAACGTCTGAGAAAAACGTTTAACATCACGAAAAGAGACAAATAAAAATATTAGACATCAAGTGGATGTTGAATCGAGCATGAAATACAATGAAAGACAACAAATAAGATGGTTTGGACAGGTAATTAGAATAGAGCCACAATAGCCAGCCTCCAAGTCCTACATAATGCGATTCCATGGCTTCAAGGCAAAACGAAGGCCAAGAAAAAGATGGATCCGAAAAGACCCTCAAAAGGAACAAAACGATGATTCAAACAGCAACACACCTGGCCCATGTCTGACAACTGCATCTCCTCTTGACACCTTGTGCTATAAGAGGACAGGAAAAGTGCAAAAACTGACTACCAACCTCTTATCCCTCTGGTTGGGCAATGGTCTCCAGTCCGCGGACAAGGTGTGCAGATTCTGGACACTTGTTTCTATCGACTCTCCTGACAGCAAGCTTGATCTTCGGCTGCTTTTCTCGCCTAAGTTTTGAAATAATTTAACAGATTTAAAAAGTGTTCGACAAACATAATTTGGCCAATTGATGATACACACAATTTGGCAGCAGGGATTTTGGCAAACATAAAAGATGCATTAGTTTTGAACAAAATTAAATACTGTTAAAAATCATATTACATCGTACTTTACGAACTGTGTCCATACCACTTCTTTCATACTGACTATCTATTAAGTGCAAATAAGCCTCAATACTCTAAATGAGGAGAAATCATGAAAATGAAAGAAAAAATGTCACAGAATTTAGTGGCAAGTTCATTTAGTCGGAAGTTACTATTCAACTTACTCTACCTTCATTCACAGTGTGATTTATAAGTATGGCTATTCAACTAAAATGTTTATTTATTAGGAAAAAACTGCCAATGTAGCCAAATGCTTTCATAAATCTTTATTAAAAAATATAAACAATACAAGAACTAACAAGTATCCAAACTCCATGTTTCAAGCAACACGTGATTTTATATAATCAAACAGTGTTACACCATTCACAGAGTGCAAGCAAACTCAAGAGTCTTAGAGTACAGCAAGTAACAGCACTCTTACAGCGCAGGCAAAAGTCCTCCTCTGTGACAACACTAGCTTCCAACAGTAAGAACTTAAACCTCATGGCATGCTATTTCAAATAATACTAAATAATACAATATAAACACCTCAAACAATCCCAAAGCTATTGCATATAAATTTTATGTCAGCATGAATTCAGATAATAATTAATATTTATATAGAGAAGCCTGCAATGTCCCAATAGCCCCCTATAGCATCTTACACTAACAAAGCTACCTGAAATTAAAGTAAAAATTGATATACTTTTTTTCTTCAATGTGGACACAGATGGTATTCTGGAATGAACCAGATGGCCAACTGAACGAACGGAGGACTTTAAAAAATTCACGATAATCTTTAAAAGACTATGTTATATTGATAATTGTAGAATCATACAATGTTACAGGTACCATGTGCACACAAAACCAAACCACACAACTTAATATACTTCAAACAGTTTTAAGCTTCATTGTGAAGTGAGCTGTCCACCTGAAATGTGTTCTATTACACATCAGTCGAAAGAACATTCAAAATTATTTGACCCCACTTTCATCTCATCAAAATTCAAACTTCCCAGTTTTTCCACAAAAGAGCTCTCAAAGGATAACAGTTGGATAACAGACAAGAAAATTAGAGGTAGAATTTGACCTTTATAACAATTTTTACAGTCCACATTATAAAATGAGCTGTATATATATACATGTATATATTAAAATTAACAAAGCATCTCCGGAAATATATGAAGCAGACAAGAGTGCAGCAATCCAAGATTAGTACTGGATAGCATAAAAATCTATGTTCGAATCTTTTCCAAATACAATGCCCACACAATAATCGAATAGCAAAATATGAACACTGATGCCTTTGACGAGCTTTATAGTTCACACACAAGTGAGATAATTAACACACTTGAAAATTGGGTACACAAAGTTCAGCTTTGCAGGCTTAGAATACTGGAGCCTTAGAGAAAAAGGAAGCCTGCCTCTTACCATACCATACAATCAGTCAGGAATAAAAGAATCAAAACGAACTTTGATGTCAAAGCCAGTGGAAAAAAAAAATTTTTTATCACAGAAATAATTTTCGAAGAGGGCATGATAATTACAGTGTGTCTGTTATGTGCATCACTCATCTACCAACAATGTGGAAACAGTGAAGATGAAAATCATATGTTAAAGGTAAACTAGCTGGCCTTCCTTACAGAAAAGCAAAAATGTACAATACTCTTTCGGTAACCGATGTAACTACTATGAATAAAAAACATATATATTTATACTCTCCTCTTATCTATCTCGACAAAAAGATGAAAAAAAAGGAATACTGAAAATCAAAATTGAATACTTCAAAATAAAATCTAGAAGCGCACATGAAAAGGTAAGCTGTCTGGGACAGTTGGTCGAGTAGTAGTTTCCTTCTAAACTCTAAACCAATACAAGGCACCTAGACAAGAATAAGAAATAGCTACAATAATATGTGTAAGGCGCCGCAACAGGATTACCAGGATGGTGAGACGGGACTTGAAGGTACACTGCAAAAACAGTCGGCATTATTTGATACATTATCAAGAAATAATGTAACGGACTATTGGCCATTATATTTACAAGTAAGGTAAACAGGCAAAACATTGAGGCAAAAAAGATCTTTATAACATGCAAAATGTACCTTATCCCCCCCCCCTCACCCCCCCCCCCCCCCCCCCCAAAGATATATTATATGCTACATGTCATATACCTTCTTAATATCTCTATGGCATGCATTATAAATCCTGAAGTAACAACTTTGTTGCATGATTTTGATTATAATAAACAAAATACCAGACTATTTTGAAACCAAACAATCTGAAGCAAAAGAATAAATTATGATTGTTGTATTAACACAGCTTCCACTTTAACAAACATTTATTGACAATCCACTTTGCCTTACTTCCAGTAATATGAGACACTGCTTTTATGACTTGCACTACAAAGGGGCTATTGAAAGCTCAAGTATTCTTCAAATCACTGACCCAACAGAGCCTAAAGCTTTGGGCGAGAACAAGACACATACAGGACAATAAATTTTCATTCTTTCAATTGAAAACATGAACCCTGAACCAGCAAAGCACATAAGATTTTAAATTTCTCTCTAACAGTTTAGGCATGCAAAAAAAAATTAATTAATTAATAAATATACAGACATAATCAAAGTCTCACTGCACTGACCACTTGTCAAATGTTCAGAAAACCTTACAGACAAAACACATTGTCAACAGAACCAGCCTTATTTCCACAGAAATTTAGACTGCCATAAAAGAAAGTGGAAAAAGCAAAAGATACTGTCGACATTTATTCTGACCAAAGCCCACCACTATTGAATAACAAAGCAGGATATCCACTGTCACAAACCAGCACCGTCCAACCAACAATGTACAGAACAACTAGTGATGAACATTGTTTTAATGTCCGAATGTACACATATAAACACATGTAATATATGTTGATCCTATTCAGACCCAAGGGCTAGAACCCAAATGGCCGCTGGATCGGAAAAATAAAGTAAAGTAAGTATGTTTATCCTACAACCAGGGAACATGAAGTTGACGAGGATCCTGTGCAAAAGAGAATGGCAGATGCATTTTTCAAAAGCTCTGCCTACAGTTGCAAAACACAAAACAGAAAGCAGACGGTGTGCAATCCAGGTCAAATCATATTCAGTCCCCAAAAAAAAGTCTTTAGCAACATTAGTAAGCAATCATCACCTTTTTAAGAAAGTCATAAATACTCATGATGGAATGACAGTTGTATCATACAAACTGACACTTGTATACTTATCAAAACTGACTGGCTCAATATCTGAAGCACCCACTGAAAGCCAGCAAACAATATTAAACATAGCTATAGTCAAGCATTCCACAACTTTAGAGGGTTCATAACACAAAAATCAAATTTTCAAAGAACAATGAATAGAAGATTAATGAATCCTGAATTCAGGCAAGCAGTCCATGGACCTTTCAACAAGATTCAAACAACCTGATCTTCTCAAAAGCCCAAACAGAAGATGAAAGTGGGTGCTGATTTGGAGTATGAATATACATTTTTTGGCTGTTTTTTCTTCATCAAATAACTAGATCTACAATGTTTTCAGTTTTATCTACTCCTTTTTTTTAAGTTAAAAAGAAAAATTGAACACGTGTAGAAAAATGCCTTTAACTTATCAGCTCATCAGTGCAAATCTCAAATTGTATGTCTTCATTCTTTACTCCAAAACCTTTGTGCAGGACACTCACAGGTCAGTGTGGGTGGTCAATGAATGTTGTCACTCGCTCTGACATGATATCTAGAAATAAACAAACTACAAGAAGCAAGTGGTTTCATACCAAAGGAACTGCAAGAACACAAGCAAGGCAAGTTGACAGAAACTTCTGTAAAGAGTCCAAGCAGCAAAATTTTGAATCACAACAAAGTTACCAGAGGACATTCCATGCAAGGCCTTGAAGGTCGGAATGCAAAAAAAAATCGGAGCAATTTTTGGTGAGACAACACCAAGTAAACAGCCAACTGTAAAACAAAAGAGGATAGTCACCCATGCCCAGCCCTTCGCCAAAAATCTGCCTTGCAATCGCTAATGGGAAGCGATCAAATGGGTCAGAGTGCAAGTGTAAGAGTCGCCTCATTGGCTTACCCGGTTTGTCCCCACTTGAATAGGATGATGCCCTGCAAGACAAACAAACAAAATAATAATAAAACTCCGTAAATTTTACACAAAACTTCCTGGAAAAAAACAACTTTGACCACAGAAAATTGTAAAGAAAAGTTATCTTTACTCAAGAGGGTATAGTTACAATGTACCGGTAGCCTATTGACAATATATTGAAATCTATCGAGTCAGATCAACAAAGTTTTTAAGTATTATTGATGAAAGGTGTGGTTGGCCAGAGCATATCCTTCAGTTCTGTTAAAAAAATTAATTAGCTTATAGAAATGTACAGTACCGCAATTTTGCTAAAAGCTAGACCCTTACTTTCAAATAAAGCCTTGCTAACTCTTTACCACACAAATTGTTTATGCCTCAAAAACTATTGTTCAGCTATGGAACAGTTTAGACGAAAAATTAATTTACATTAATAATTTACATATATATATATTACTTTAAAAAAAGCTTCAGGCTGAATTCTCCAAAACTCTACTAGACTAGCATAACAATTATGGAGAGATATGGGAAGTAATTTCGTAACACATAATAGGGGTGGGACGAGATGACCATGTGACGAAATGACCGGTTACCTCATAACAATAGTCATAGTGGTGATGGTCACAGTGTAGCGTAAAAAGCACGCTAGCTAGAACTAGGTATAATCAATGGTAAGATTGTACTTTACTGGAACACCGGTAACCACCGGTCGGAACTACTTTCACAATGGCGCCCCTGGTGCCTAGTGGTCCGCTATTTTCTTCCTTTCCGAGCTCCCCTACTCACTCTTCTACTCAGTTTTCTATGTCCTCACCCTTCGACTGTCAACTACCGACTAACGTCTCTTTTATCAGGTTTTTCAGTCATCACGACAGCGCCACAGTGCCCTTTGACCCACGACCCAGACACCTTGAGGCTAATTGGTCAATCTAATAACGTGGTCCATTATTCTATAAATTTGCTCGCGACTCTGCTAGGTCTAGGCCTACTCCTGGTCCGGCCAAGTACAATGGAGGGCGAGAGATGCGCACAAGAGCTCATTTGCATAATTGCAACCCCATCGGTCCTGCTGTTGACTTGGCGAGTGCTGCCATGTGAAGCAAGGCTCGGCCTGTTCCAACTCAAATTACCCTGATTGTCCACTTAGCACCATGGTCCGTTACTGTTATTATTTTGCATTTATGTGTGGAGGTCCTTTTTTAAATTATTGTGTTGCCAGGGGGGCAAGCCCCCCTGAAACCCCCAACTGTTGTAATATTGATATGTACATGATTGTCCTCTTAACCTTAACGCCATCACCATGGCTCCCTCATGGGCTCACGGTATTGTTCTGAATTTGTGTGTTTTCTTTATTATTGTTCCCCCCCCCCCCCTGTTGGTATAACACACGGTGGGTCCCACCAAAGTTTAAATCCCCTATCCGCCCCATCTCCTACCCACCCTCAACCACCAACCTCTCGCTCACCTTGCCTCGCCGCTGGCTTGGGTTGTGCATGAAGTCGCCCGCGGAACTACCTTTTATCCGCATGTAGAGAACTATGAGTGCGTGGCGTAAGTAGGCTAGGCACGCGTAGTAGTAATCACGGGCCCAGATGGTTGGTCCGGTAAAGTACAATCCAGCCTAATTAATAATTATATAATTAACATTGGAACTAGATTCTAGATGGACATATTAGTAGATATAGATCTAGATTCTAGTCGTTAGTAAAGTGGAGGCTAAATAAAGTATAAAGGTCTAGATTTAGATCTAGAATCTAGATCTAAAGATCTAGATCTAGTATTTTATAAAAGGAAGTGGCTATCCTCACCCGGGGTGAGAATAAAAGTACGATCAACCTCTCACCCCGGGTGAGACTTGCCACCGTTGGCTATTCTCACCCGGTGTGAAAAAAGACCTGTTTTTCCTAATTTTGGAATACTTTCAGTCGGTGTGGATGATCAAAAATGGATAAAAGCAAAGAAAAAATTACGTTATAGCACAAAAGTAAGCTAATTTGATCGTCTACAAAGATGCTATGGCTATTTCACTTTTCAAATCGAGCCGAACTACGCGGGTCGCCATTTTGTTTTGCCCGGAAGTTCTCGCAAGATCTACTCCTCCCGTCTTCTCGTCTCTTTCTGAATACTGTCTCGGTGTGGACGATCAAATTGCAGGGTTGGTGATTTTTTAAATTTAAATCAGATTTTTAAAATTTAAATCGGATTTTTTTTATTTTTAAAAAAATGTCGACACAGTTTGGGATTTTTGGAGGCTAAAAGTAAGTTCTTTTAGTGCAAAATGCATTGTCTTTATTTTAACTAATGATTAATTTAAGCAACTGCAATTTTAGAAAGCCTTAATCTGCTATATCAGTGAGTTATGGCTGCAAACAAAAAATGAAGAAAATGTCAGTCTAAAAGGAAGGGGGGGGGGGGGGTAATTATGCATAGATAAACTTGCATTTTATTTACAGTGTGTGTGTGTGCGCCCGCTTGTGTTTGTCTAAAAAGAAAAACTAAATGCTAGTTTCAATTATGAAAAAAAAGTAAATTGAATACAGTATTATTTTACTACTTACAGTGACAGGGGGGAAAGCAGACTTTTAAGCATGATTATTTTAGTCTACTAAACCTTATATCTGTTTTATAAAACCAAGGAAAGGAATTCTGAATGTTTAAAGATGTAAAAACAGAATACATTTTTTAAAAGTGATTTAAATCACCGAGTTCTATTTTTGAAATCAAGTTGATTTAAATTTTAAAACATCAACTGATTTAAATCAACAATCAACCTGATTTAAAACAACCCAACCCTGGTTTTCAATTATGAAAAAAAGTAAATTGAAAACTGTATTATTTTACAGTGACTGGGGGGAAAGTAGACTTTTAACTCACTTCAGACGGCTCACACAACAGTTGCGTGACCCCCGCCGCGACGCTCGCGACGGGTCTCACAAGCCCTGCGTGACCAACTTGGGAATTTTTTTTTCGCTCTACAAATCACGCACGGATCGCGAGACCCGCCTCGTACCCTTGTTTGGCCAAGCCTCAGCTACTTAGACTTCGTTTCGAATCTCTGGGGCCGGTAGTTTTTAAGTTATTGAAGGTGAAGGACAGTGACCCCAACTGGGGTTGAACAGACCGGAACTCGCGCTTTGTTTTTTTTTATACACAGCTGATAGTAATCCGACAGTCGCCTCGTAGTAACGGTCGAAGAAGTCGCATGAACAAGAATCACATAATTTCCGCCGTTTTCTATACTTCTGTACGTTTTACTAGTTCTAGTGTCTCAGAATATGATGTGTCTAATAGTTATGATCCTGGATATGTACCCGAACACAGCCCGATTCGTAGTTCTAGGGCTAGATCTAGCACTAGAAAGTCTAGTACCGGTGTTGTTTTTCGCGCAACGAAATCACAACGTCATGCCGTACATCTGTCTCATGTAATTCAGTGTGTATGGGTCTGAATCAATGCACAGACCAGCTTTTATATTTTCACCAAACACTCGCACATGTATACAAATCAAACCAGAACACTTTGAACTTTTATTTTTGTTGTTGTAGTGTTCTACTTGTCACGTCTTTGGAAATTTTTCGGAAAATCTAATTCATGCCAATTTTTAAAAAATCATACAAATTAAAGTATTAGACTTAGACAACTTTAGTTTTTTGTATTAGATTAAACTTGAATGTTACTTTACTGTGTCAAAAAATAATTACAATAGGGTAATTCTGAGAGTTGTGATTTATTGAAATACCCCCAAAAACGCCAGTTGGTGAAAGGGCCCAGTCGCAAGTGAGTTAAGCATGATTATATTAGTCTACTAAACCTTATATCGTTTAATAAAACCAAGGAAAGGAATTCTGAATGTTTAAATATGTAAAAACTGAATACATTTTTTTGAAAAGTGATTTAAATCATTGATTTTTATTTTTTAAAATCAACTGATTTAAATCAACCCAGCTCTGATTTCAATTAAGGAAAAAAAAGTAAATTGAATACTGTATTATTTTACAGTGAAAGGGGGGAAAGCAGACTTTTAAGCATGATTATTATATTAGTCTACTAAACCTTATATATATATCTGTTTTATGAAACCAAGGAAAGGAATTCTGAATGTTGAAATGATGTGTAAAAACTGAATAAAAATAAAAAAATGTTAAAGTGATTTAAATCACTGATTTTTATTTTAAAAATCAAGTTGATTTAGATTCTAAATCCAAAAAATCAACTGATTTAAATCAACCCAACCCTGTCAAATTGACCCCAAAAAAGTTTTAAAATGATGTTAAAACACAAGAAAAGTAAATTAATTTGGTCATCTACAAAGATGCTACAGTACAGCTATTTAACTTTTCGAATCGAGCCGAATTACGCGGGTAGCCATTTTGTTTTGCCCGAAAGTTCTCGCGCTACTCCTCTCTCTCTCTCTCTCTCTCCACTGCCCACAGAGAAAATTGTACGTTTTTAGGCTAATAGAAAATCTAGTACTAATGGAACGTTTGTTCACGGCACAGAATTCTACAATTTTTCTGTTGTCACAGAGTAGAATTCTGTGGTTCAGGGTGAACGCAAAATTGGTTGGCCTAGATCAGCTATAACGGTGAACGCACACAGGGTGAGAATAGCCAAAAGGGGAAGATTGAAGAATACCGGACCACTCGTATATACATTATCGCGCGAGAATGTGGGGCGGGTGGTTGGGGTGGAGGAGGGGGTGGGGGGGTTCAGGGGGGTCTCCCCCGACAAAATTTTAATAAATAGAATAATAGATCTACCGGCCCGAGATACCCGAGATTCTCCATTGAGAGATAGATATCTAGATCTATAAAAACTTGGGAAAATCATGAATTTCTAAGGTTGAGGAGACATAGGCAAAGTCAGTCCGCTGGTCTGGTATTCTTCAATCTTACCGCCAAAAGACTCGCCTGCGCTATTCTCACCCGGGGTGAGAATAGAGGTGGCCTTTATTTTTTAAAAAGAGTAGGCTAAACAGTGAGATCATCGGAAGTCGAACTGTTTCCAGAGTTCAAGAAGAAATAGAAGTTTCGTCAGATCAAAATAAAAAGCTACCTCCATCTCTTTCCACCTTGAGCCTCCACCAGTTTTTCAAGTCTGAAAGCTTTGGGAGATCTTGCTCCTCCACCTGTTGTAGATCTCTTCAGCCCATCCCCGTCCTTTGAGGATAGACTGTCGGTACCATTGTGAAGAGATTGCTCATCAGCTTCACCATCATTTACCTCCCTTCCTTGTTTACTCTCCGAACACTTGCGCTTCACTGATGAATCTGACTCATTTTCGATCTCAGAACCATCTTTGATCTTAGCAATAACAACTGAGGAAGGATTAGAATAGGTGCCATCAAGTGATATGTTGCTGAGAAAACTGAGGGCAGCAAGTCTCCGTTTAGAACGATATTTTTGCTGTTTTCGTTCGCGAGACGTGCTCGCCATTGGAGAACGTCACAAGAGTTTTCGTTCCTGATTCAATTCTAATGAAACGAAAACAACGGTCTTGGTCAACTTCCTGTCGGCACATTCCCATGTCAGCAGTAGAAAACTGTAGTGAATCAAGAGGGTCAAACCATTCAAAGCACTGGACAGTGGGTTAGCTTGCCTGTAAATTCTCTTCATGAAGCAAAGCAATAATAATAATAGTAGGCCTAATAACAACAATGAATGGAATAAAAACATTTCGAAAAATAGAGGAGAAGAAGAAGTTGAATTTAAGAAGAAGTAGAAAATAAATAGGAAGCTTTTAGTGCGATGGACGAGGCCCTGGGCTTTCTCATGTACTGTTTGTCCTAACAATTATCCGAGAAAAGGGTATTAAATTACAATAACGCCAACAAAAAGATTAAAAGAGAACAGAGTATCCTACATTTTTCATCCAGGAATATTGCAATAAGCTATCGGTTTATTATAATTCCATATTATAATAGGCCTAATATTGAGAATGATGTAGGCTACAGAGCTCTCCGGGAGTGTCTGTACGCGCGTGCGTATAAGTCAAATTTTGTTAAACGCACGTAATTTCGTGCTTGGGGTGAGTATAACCCGTGTTGTAACTGCTTGTGTGTGTGTGTGTGTGTGTGTGTGTGTGTGTGCGCGCGCGTGCAACTTTGTTTGACGTGGAAAAGAGGAGGTACAGAATGGTACGGGCTAAAAAAAAATTAAGGAACGAGAATTTCTGAGACTGTGTAAAGATAACACAAATTAACCCACCCAAAAATAAATAGGGGGGAAAAACGAAAAAGGGCTGGGGGAGGGGAGGGTAAGAAGGAAGAAAAACCCCCGGAAAATCAACAAACAAAAACTATGTAAATTATTTAATGATTTAAAGCAGCAAGATGTTCAAACTGGTCGAACTTTAGTATTTTATTGTCCAGTCGCAACGATGGTTAGGGGGTCGTTCAAATATAATCTTCCCCCCCCCCC